TAAACCCCAGTTTTGGAGACAATATTCATTATTTTATTACAAAAAATTGGCTACTAGTATTTTTGATCCAATCTTCGAAAAGAAAATGCTATAAACAGGATTATTTTGAGATTTTGTGATGAAAAGAGGGAGTTGAAGTGAACTTGAAGGTTAAGTTACAGTAACGAGGTCAAAAGTTCAGTATGTTTATTCAAATTCCATTATCAGATATGCATGTTTGATTTGCAAGTGAATAAATATTTCATAATTTCACATACTGTAAAATGACTAATTTTCACTGGGTTTAAATTTAGCTGATTTACCATTTCAGGCATATTCAGTGGGTTTTAAATTCACAGTTTTATCATTTAGATAATGTGTTCTATGCTAAATTTTACATATTCACTGGGTTTTAATTTAGCGCATTTTCCAGTCAGCGAAATAAGAAAAATTTACAGTACATTGTGTAATGTATACCGTTTTAATTTCGCGAGAGACAGATTTGCCAGCGAAAATCACTAGTATAAAATGTTGTGTAACTGTACACTCACTTACAGTGACAAAGTTTCTGCTGTCTTATAACACTGGTACACAAATCAGCTGGAGACGCGTTTCCATTGACGATTGGTCGTTGTATCTTGCAGAGATACTAAACTCACTGGCTGTACACGGGGCCCACACGGGGCCTACACAACGTCCGGATCGTAAGTACTGTATATGACTTTGACCGGGGACTGTGGTTGAACGAACCAGCATGACCATTTCACTCAACCTCGGCCCGTGGACGAGAGCACGATCGAGTCGAGGGGTGGTGCCTGGAAGAACAGAGTGGGCGTGTATTTTTAAAACCACCGAGATCAGCACTTACCAGGAACTCCAGCGTCAACAAATTTCACCGGTATTCCAGCACAGTGTTTCGCTAGGAGACCTTTAATGTCCACAACCTGGCTGAACACCGTGACCAGGGGCCGAGTGGAAGCCGCCATCTTTCGACGGTAAATTTGACTTCCAATACGCATGCGTGAATACTTCAAGCCAATCGTTAATCCAGATTATTCGACACCCTGTTATCGCTGTCGCCCACAGTTGACCAGAACTTGAAGACATACTTGTTTTGAGACGCAGCTAGACCTGCTTGCAACCACTTGCGTTTCCGAAGAAAAATAAGTATAAAACACTCTCAAGACACTTGCCTTCTGTGTAAGCGCCCTCACATTACCGGCCAGATTCGGGCTCGTAAATTTGCATATACATGTACGTCAATATGGTGGGTGGGGCAGCCTAGCCACGGACCATTACTCTCACTATGTTACCATGATATTGTTGACGCCAACACAATTTAGCAAAGCAACTATTGTTTTTCAGAGAACTATAGAAAGCAAAACGAGTTGTAGTAGTCGCCACTAACACTTAATTTCTAGATGACGACGACTTTTCATTTTCAAAGATGTCGACGCAAACGGGACCCCTAGTAACTCCTAGTCATCCCCTATGACAAGTAATTATAGCAATTAAGTAATTATAGTAATTATAGTAATTGTAGTAACTATAGCAAGTAATTATGAAACACCAGTTTTCATCTCAGGTGTACATTAAATAGCACAACATAAAGGGTTGGGCATTTAAAATATAGGGAGATGGAAGCGTATGACCACCGACTGCATTACTGTTCACAGTGTCTTATCTGTACGTGTCTTTCATGCTTTTTCTTTCACTGTGTCTAACTTGCAAATTTGTTTAAAGAAATTTTCCAGCCACTTCCTATGATTTAAAATTACCAACCCCTAAAGATAAGAAAAAGGCAACACAATTAGCCGGTAGCAATACACAGTGTCACATTTTGCGTGGTCTACACGAAAACACATAACAGGGGACGAGATATTTTTACCGTGTACACTGGATATTTCAGCGATATTTTGTGGAACTATGAACAGAATACCAGTCATGATCAATACTTGATTTTGCTCGTTTGCCTGGGAGCAATACTAAAATAATAACATACCTTATTGAACATGAGCAACTCAGATCTGGTAAATCGATGACCATACTTCCGGGTTTTTCTCATTTACATATTCTCGGCAGACGCGAGATCTCGAAATGCGTCTGCGTCAACTTGAAAATGTACTGTACATTTTGCGTCGTCGTCTTAGTACTAGAAAGTATGCATCTGTGTCAACTTGAAATAAAAAGTGCAAAGTCTCCTAGGGGGACTCATTTTGCGTCGACAACTTAAAAAGTGCAAGTTGCGTCGTCTACTAGGGGTCTCGTTTGCGTCGACATCTTTCAAAATGAAAAGTCGTCGTCATCTAGAAATTAAGTGTTAGTGGCGACTACTACAACTCGTTTTGCGACAACTGCTCATTATTTAGCGACGACTATGAATAAGTTTTGCTATGGAAAGC